CTCTATAAAGTTTGGAACATACACCAATTCTTCAAACTTTGTTTTTAACTGCTTTGTAAGCCTTAAAGTAATTTATAATATGCAGTGCGATTTTATGCAAATACTATTATAACTTGTTGTTTATTACATTATTTAACATTTTTTAAACTTAACAAATAACGTTAACATTTTTTAAACTTAATTTTGTCTGAAAACAACATTACCATTGCATTATTGGTAAAGTCTGCCTAAAATAGCCAGTTGATTATCTTATAAAAAATAAACACAAGTAAAAAAAAAAAACATGTTAATACCTAACAATTTGTAGTTCACTATTATCAGGAAAATCTTCGTAACCTCTCACTTTTTTAGAATCAAAATTTTCTTTCTCAAAGTCGCACTATTTTTTAAAAAGAAAAATCTTTACGCCTTTAAAAATTTTTATTCTTAATTAACTTTTTTAAACATATATACAGTCTTAAATAAAAAAAAAAAATTTTAAAAGATTAGAAATAGTCAGTAAGCATTTATTTTTCTTTGGCTCTATGATTAATTGTTTTATATTGTTTTAAATATTACTAAATGTAAATTTAAGTATAATGACTTATTTATTCTTTTTAATTCAAAAAAAGTCTTTTTATGGTTTTATTATAACCATGATAAACATGATATCCAATTATAAACAATGGTTTATTTAAAAATAATTAAACTTTAGGAATAATTTATCCAAACCTAACACATTATTTTTGATAAAAACATTTTTTTATTTAATATATTTATATAATATATTTTTACATTAAAAAAAAAAAATTATTTAATATAATTTGTGATAAAAACATTTTTTATTTAATATAATAAACAATTATAAGTCCCATTTTTTATTTCTGCAATTGTTATTAGACCATGGGACTTGAGAATTGAGCTTTTCAACTATACACAGTTTATTTCAATTAAATATAACATATTAACAAAAATTAAGAATTTAATAATTCAATTAAAAAAAAGCATTTAATAATTGATTTTGAATGATTTTATTATTCTTTTAAATGCATATTTTTTTTAAACATGTTTTTTAAAAATAAAAGTGAACTGAATGTTTCAAAATTCAAATTTTTAGTTAGTTTAAATTAAACCTGCTGTTGAAAATCTTTCATTAGGTTGATGTTCAATCAATTTTTATTAAAGTGTGATACAAAACATCCAGGGTTGTCTTCCATTTTTTTGAAAAAATTTGATTGGGGAAATTCTTCCTTCAACTCAATATCTTCGTCAATTTGGTAATCTCTTGTAAATCCATTTTTTGAGAGGGTGTATCAGTTTTTTTTGGCTATATTAATTTGTAATGGAACTTTTCAGACAAAAACTTGTCAACTTTCTCAGCTATAATGAGATTTGCATCATGTTTACTCAATTCAGTAACAGCAGTTTTAACTGGTGTAAGAACTTCAACAAGGTGTTCTAATGATAAAATGTCATTTTCTGAAATAGGATTAAAGCTCAGTTTAATTAAAAATTTGTTAATACTTTCAGATAGAATGAAAAAATGTTCTACCATTACACTCAAGGAATTCTTTTTTTTTTTTTTTTTTAACTTAAATTTTTTTTATTACTTTATTTTGTTACTAAATAGAACCCTTCAATAAAGACAGAGATAATCAGTGGTGGCCAGTGACAATAAACTTTGGTGGGGCCAGGAAATAGTAACCAAAAAATATCTTAACAACTTGGTGTCTTTGGTCTTTGGAAGTCGTTGAACAGATTTTAATACTACTTCTTTAGATTTTTTTTTTAATTTTAATTTTACAGTAAAAACTTTTAGTTAAAAGTAAGTCATAAATATAAAAAATTACAATTAACACTATAATTAACATAAAGGTATTTTATATCTTGAAATAAAGAATGATGGTAAAAACAAAGATTTAAGCATATTATTTATACAAATATTCTGCTTTTCTCTGTTTCATAAGAGAAAACATTTCGATTACTTTTTGATCAAAATCCTGTAAATAATCTTTATGTATTAATAATACAGCTAATGCATTCAACTGATCTTGACCTAAGGAACTTCTCAAAAGTGTCAAAACTCTTTTTAAAGTACTAAAACACCGTTAAGCATCAGCTGTAGACCAAAACAATCTCTATCAACTTTGATACTACAGAAAATGTTTCAACCAGGCTATTTTCATGCATAAATTGGGATAGGGCATTAATGGTGCCGATATCACGAAAAACAGCATTTTCATACAAAACGATTAATTCAGACATCAACTTAACTTTACTTAACATTGGATAGATTGTTAGAATATTTTTTACATGATTGCTAAGAAAATGTTGTTAAAATTTTTCGGATCCAAAATTGGTTTTCGAATCCCAATGAAAAGAAATGTTTAGCCAATAAACTGTCTATTTAGTTATTGTTAATTTACCTTATTAATGAACCTAAATTATTGCAATAAGATAACTTTAAACTATATTATAACTAGAATATGACTTAAGCATAATTTGAAAGCAAATTTTATGAACAGTAGTTTAGTCAAGAAGGACGCTTAATCTCAATTAAAAATTGATAAAATAATAAATAATGTAATATAACATACACATTGAACTCTTTGATAGGTTCACATAAAGTTTTCTTAGTATGGCAAAAAGGTCAACAAAAACAAAAGATACTTTTACAACATTAAAAAATTTTCAAACATGTTTTTTAATGAATTTTAAATCCATAATTTTTAAATACAACATTTATGATGTCAGTCATAAATAATAGTAAACTTCAAGATTATTTACAATGCCAAAGGTGCTTTAACAATTTCATGTAATTAAAGATAAAAACTTAATATCTATTTGTAAGCATACATAACAGTATTTAAATATTTATATAGTTTTTAGTATTTTGAGCTTTAATATTTTATTGAATTTAAAAAACAAAAAAAACAAACAAAATAAAATATTTTTATTCTTTTATTTCTATGGTAATAGTAAACTTCAAACACTTTTACAGGGTTATTAATAATTATATACCGATTTATTAAAAATTATATATCAGTTTATTAGTAATTATATAGCAGTTTTTTAATAATTATATAGCAGGTTGTTTACAATTATATATAAATCATAAAATACCTTTCTTAGTTAGAATAAAAAATACATCCAGTAAAATAAATACAAAAAGTGTTGTTAAATGTTAGGTTTTTATTTAAATTCTTGTCTTAAAAAGCAAGATCGAGATAATGCTTCATATGTTGATAAAACGCCATAAAATCAACATTCTCATTCATATCTACTATTACCTTATTAGTTTGTTAAATAATATCTTCCTTAGTTTCTGGAGATGGACATAACTTGTAATATCTGTTTTTTAAACATAAAGATACTTCTTCTATAGGATTTAACTGGGGAGAATATGGGGGTAGATATCCATGTCTAATATTCTTATACCTAAAATATTGAGTTATCAGTTCTGATTTATGAAATCTTACGTTGTCCTTATAGGAGTTTTATTTTCAAACAATCTTGCTTCATAGCACGGCTTGAGAAACTCTAAGAATCTCATTCATTAAAAAGAGTACTATTCTGGATGCTTTTATAATACAGCCATGGCCTACTTTATAAACGACCGGATATGTTGCATAAATAGGTCGAAAATTAGAAGGCCAGTTTTTAGCATTTTGGTTATTTTTCATACTGCCAGTTAATATTGTTTAAATTTTAATTTGGGAGATACTGATTAAGTTGGAAATTTAGTTTTGGATATAATGGTGAACAAATTTTCTGTTTTTAATTGTCGAACTGGCTATAAATCTAAAAAAAATGAATCTTAGTTCTCTTAGTGCAAGTAAAGCTGTTTTTAGTTTTCCTAAAGATACTGTTTTAGAAGAAAAATAGATGAAATTTGTTAACAGAACAGATTGGAAGCCAAGAAAACATTCAGTTATATGGTTGGACCATTTTGAAAAAAAGTATTTAAAATATGGAAAACGAGTTATTTTAAAATATGAGCTAAACCCTGTTCCAACCATTTATTCTGATGAAATTTCTATTCTATCTTCTATAATACCTAAAATTCCTACTTTTCGTAAACCTCTAACTGACCGACATTCTACCATCCCAGATGAAATTCATACATTTCAAGAAATGTATAAAATAAAAAACATTGATATGCTTCATGAATCTAACTCTCCAAATGGATTTAGCTTTAAAAGATATGAAAGTTTTGTTTTATATTATCGTTTATTTTTTGTAGACACAACTCCATTTCAATATGCATCGATAACAATTTGCATGTAAAGTTATATTACAAAAGTTCTCCACTTCCACTCCCTAAATGGTTTAGAACAATTAACAATTGTAAGCTTGCAAGTTTATTGATTTTAAATAATTTGGTGTCTTATATGCACAGCCTTATTGAAAAAAATTTGTATGGTTTAGTTAATGAACTATCAAATTTAATTTTTTACAAATTCAAAGGTCGTCCTCCATATTCTTCACAAGTATTATGTTTTTGCACTTATGCAAAGATACTCATCATTTCATTTCTTTTCATTTCTTTCATTTCCTTCTTTTGAAACAACTCCCATTGCCATCAATGTCACTACTTAAGAAGTTAGTTTCTGGTGGAATCAATTCAATAAAATCATTAAAACTGTTATTAAATGAAGTAAAAATAAGCAATAATTGTGTTCTTCTTTTTGATGAAATGTATTTACAGCAATCTTGTAAATACCACAGTGGTATATTAATTGGTCAAGATACCTTTACAAAGGAATAATTGTGTTCATGATCGTTGGTCTTAAAAAATCAATACCATACGTTATTAAAGCTATCCCAGAAACTAGTCTTTCCGGAGATTTTATTAAAGATGAAATAGAAGAAAGTTTAAATACATTAAGATCTGCTGGTTTTAACATTCGTGCATTCATTGCTGATAACCATCCAACTAATTTGTCAGCTCATTCAAAATTACTCAGCATTTATGGTTCAGAGAAGCCAGAAGAAAATTTTTGTATCACTTTTAATGGTCATATAATTTATTTGATGTATGATAGTGTACATTTGCTCAAAAACTTAAGAAATAATTTGATTAGTACCAAAAAGTTTTTTTTCCCATCATTTCAGTTCACTGATTACATTTTTAATATATAAGTCTCTGCAGGTGATATATCTTGGGGATTGCTTCATAGAGTGCATGAAAAAGATGAAACTTATATATATATATATATATATATATATATATATATATATATATATATATATATATATATATATACATACATATATATCTTATACTGCTGAGTTAGGTAAGCATGATGACGTCATACTGAAATAGCCTGCTGCCGGGGGCTTCAGTACATACATCAACTGACAAATAGCCTGACTCGCAGTGGAGTGCTGCTACATCGA